ATTGTTATTCATTATTTATAGATCATATTGATTCTTCATATTTTGTTAGTTATAATTTTATATTTTAAAATATTAATATAAATATGAGTTTGTTATATTTTAAATATTAATATTTTAAAAGTATTGTCATCCACCGTGGGATAATGTGTAAACAGTATAAGATAGATGGCGCCACATTACCCCTAACGGTGGGTACATAGAGTTTAATTAAATACTAAATAGTTGTGATAGTCATTTTGATTTTTGTAATTTGTAGGGCATTCTGGAGAAGTAATTAAATAAAGGAGGAATTGCTGAAGCTCGAAGTATTACTTGGAAAATCATTAATAATAATAGTTATGTATATTAGGCTATGTTACATACTCCACAGTATTAATTTCAAATTGAATGGATGTTTTTTTGCTAAATGAAAAATAACTTAAACAATGAAACCAAAAATAGATATCTACTATATCTATTTTTGGTTTTATTGTTTCAGTACTGAAATAACTTTTTAGTAAAATGCAATCTCTTAATTAATTTATTAAAGTATTTTTTTGTCTATAATCTTAAGGTAAAATAAACTAATTTATAAAACATGAGGATATTCGGTCTAGGTGGCTTGCTATCACAGGTATAAGCTTAGTTTTTATAAAGATATAGACAACTTTCAATGCAATTTTACATAGTCATTGTTGTAAATGAACTAAAAATGAAAGTATGTAGATAATATCAGCTTTGTTCCTCACGAAGTACTAAGATAACACGACGTCACGTGATACGATATTAAATTGCTTTCGAATTTTCCGTTTTTTTTTATTTATTTATCGACTTATGTACTTTCGAATTGATTACTTTCAGTTTTCGTTAAAAATAAGAGATAAATATAAAAAAATATGTAAGATAGATAAGGTATTTTTAATTAAATATAAAAATGAAAGATATTTAAAGAAACAGAGTATTATTGATATGTTTAATATTCTAAAACAGTAGCTGAAAATGTAAAATGCTGAGATAGTACCAAAAATTCTGTTAATAATAAAATTTCTTATAGAATAAATAAATTATCCATTGGAATTGAGCATCACCTCGACGTCAGTGCAGGTTGCATTCGAATGCTGCCGCTATATAAAAAGGTAATTTATAAGGCATTCGACAAAAAAGCCGACCATTCATGCTTCAAGCATATAATTGACAAGACTGGCAATAACGCTTCTATACACAGTATAATGACAAACTAATATCCTGTGGCTTTGCTGCTTTATTTGAAGAAATATTTTTAGCAATTTTATAAATATATATTTGTATTTTAATAATAAAATGATAATTTTCTTCAAATTATAAATCAATTTTTAATTACCGTAAAAACAGGTTTTCAATATATATTAGGAAAAATTGTTAGGTACCTCTAATTATTTCTTTAATAATTTCATATATTTACGTGAATATTTGACATTTTAATCGAGAGAGATTCTCCCGAGACCATGAACAAAAAAAAATCAAAATGGATTCGCGAAAAATCCGTGAAGATAGTTTTAGGTTTTTCTTTGTTCTGTAATACAAAAAAAAACAGAAAATTCCGTAAAGTATAAGAGACAATGTTAAATATCAAATTAATTTAACAGCCATGTAGAGAGCTTGTTTTGAAGCTATAAATGAAATTCCAATAATGAAATGTTGACACTTAAGGATCGGTAAGTTTTAATTACTGGTATATTTATAGTACTTTTATTATGGCAACATTCTACAGCTTACATCTCGTACCTCATTACGGATTATATAATGAAAGCTTCGCTGGCAGTTAACATATAAAATCGAAGTAGCAAATGATTTCTGAACTAATACGTTAGTTAATATACGTATAATATACGTACATCAACAAAATTTTATTATTTTGTTAAGATATAAAATAAGCTATAAACTCATTCGATTCTTTTTTACTACTTGATCGCATTAATTAAACGAGTGTTTAAAGACTTGCGTTTACCCTTAAAAATGTATTTAAAAATGTAATTGAGATAAATATTATTTGAACGAAAATCGAAAATGTCCGTCGGAGCTATTAACAAAGTTGTTGTAAGTTCTTACGCACACAATATGGTTTTGTAACGACTGTACATTATTCTGGACGTCTGTGGTCTACAAAGCATTATGCACGGCCGAGCGTGTCGGATCGGGGAATCGAACCCGAAGCAATAATTGGGCGACATTCCTCAGACACAGGAGGCAGATGATAAGTATAAAGGTTTCCATTAAACGAATTAAATTATTGTGTATGGAAATTTTGTGTTACTTGCATGATATTCAGTAAGAAATTAAAACACGAGTGCAAACAGGTCGCATGAATATGCTAGTCGCGTATTTATAACGAGTTATTCGATACAAAGTATTAGTAAAGGTATGCCGTTGAAGCAATGAGTCAAGATTTGAGGTTTAATTTCCAATTTATTACTGTTAAGCTCGTACAAGCTCTACATAAATACGCATTTAATGACAGAAAAGTGGTTTTTGATTACAAAACTCGAAGTATTAAAATGGTGCTCAGATAACGTTAATTTATATTCTGTGAAGAAATTCGGATTTGGAAGATATTTAGATTTTATAATCGTTATTTTATCTTTAAAATTATAAGTAATTATATAGATTTTAGAACACCATCAAGATACAAAATAGTATATGACAATTTGGCACTTCCTAATCTAAGGGAGATTCGACCAACTAAACAAATCTTGGGTTTGGGCAACTAAATTGTTAGACAAAAAATGTTGACTTCACTGTATTGCATGTATTTCAATATAGGGTAAATTCAAAGAACGAAACGCGATTTTACGTTGTAAGCGCGAAATCCTATCCGCTGAAACGGCTGGACGGTTTTGGATGAAACTTGGTACACAGATAAAAGACCACATCATTATAGATACCTAGGAAGTAGGAACTTGATGGAGGACAGTGCTTGAGCGAAGCGAGGGTAAATCGGTAGTAAAAATAAAATTAGTTAATATAATTAAATGTATTGTATTTAGAACTAACTCCCTTATATTTTACAATGTAATAACAAATGCAGGTCGTTGTACCGATGCGTTTGATCGCGCCGCCGCAGTCCGACCCCCGCGCGCCGCTACGTATCATTGCAATTATCGTAAGTATTTATACATGTATTCATTAAATGTTTTAAATGGTTTAATCTTTCAACTTTTAATTTTATCATTGATCAAACCGATACAAAATGTCAGCTAAATAGAAAAATTATTACTATCAATTAATTAAAGGACACGCGAAAATGTTTTATCCAATTAATTTTTATTCTATACTAGCTTCGCTCGAGTTTGTTCCTAGTGAAAACCAAAAACAAATTTATCCCATGGGAACCGTACATTTTTTCGGGATAAAAAGTGACCTATGTGTTATTCCAGCCTATAATCTACCTCTGGGCCAAATTTTATCCAGATACATTCAGCCATTCTGGCGAGATTAAGTACCAAACATCCATTCATCCATACATCCAAACTTTCGCATTTGTAATATGAACGGGATGCAACATTGCTACTTAAAATTATCTCATTTCTGTTTTAGATTACTATGAAATATGTTATTATTAGTAAGTTATAAGTAAACATAATCTGCTAACTTTATAGTATTGTATACATACGTATTGCGTACATATTTTATACTAGCGGCTCACCTTCATTTCGCTCAGGTTCGCCTCTAGAAAAACAAAAACAAATCTATCCCTCGGGAACCGTATTTATTTATATATTTCCGGGATAAAAAGTAACCTTTGTGTTATTTCAGACTATAATCTATCTCTGTGCTAAATTTCATCCAGATCCGTTCTGCCGTTCTAGCGTGAAAGAGTAACAAACATCCATACATACTCACAAACTTTCACGTTTATAATGATTATATTATTAAGTAATTTTCCTTCAACTTTTTTTGCTGTCTGTGGAAAATCACTTAATTTCAGTCACGTATCTTCTATAAAATTTAATGAATTCAACATCTGCAATAAATAAGTACTTAGGCAAGTATGTACGCAAAAAGCCACCAAGGCATTTCTCTATCCACTCTACATAGAGTCGTCGCAGTCACACCTATGGCACAAAAATAGTTTATTATAACACCTTTAATTTGTGAACATATCGAGTTCATCGAAACCAGTTTTAAAATAACTTAGCACTTTTTTTAGTAAAAAATGTTGGGCTTTGTGCGTCCGCCTACCTGCTGTAATTAGACGGCAATTTGTTACCTCCGGCTCCTTTGCCGTTTCGTATAGGCGCCGCGGGCGAGGGCTTCGAAAGGCATTTAGTTTAAAGCAAGTATTGTTGTTAGGAGATTCTTATATAACATTGATGGAAAGTAATGAAACCCCCAGTTATTTTAGATAATTAAACGTGGCTTTTGTGTGGAATTACTTATAAGTTTTAACTTTTTCTTGTGTCATACAAAATGTAGGTAGGGGAAGCCCGGGCAAGAAGCATAGTGTGGGTAAGAAGAATAACTGATTTTTCCATAAATATATAATAGATAGCGCTATGACACTTTCTCAAGTCGTGACATGTGCGACCAGTAACGCCATGGCAGTTCGACCAAAACAATACGCGAGTGCATTTGTTGTGGAAGGAGAAAAAAATGATTATCGTCGTTTTGTTACGATTTTTGTGAAGATTTGTACACAAACTTTTTGTATTAGTCATCAGTTGCCTATGACTATTTTGGTTTAATTATATTGCACGTTTATTAAAGTATCATAAATTGTAATCATTACTTTTTGTTTACCTACTAAAACATTTCACGTCTTGACTTGTTATTAGTGTGTTGGGCAAAAGGGATATGGGCAAAACGGATAGGTATCCGTTTTGCCCGTTTAGTTATTTTATTATCTCTTTTTTAAGAAAGAAATATTTTAACAGTTTTATGACAACCAATGTTAATTTTATACAGATCTAACCTTTAAATGCACCCAGGCCGTATTGTAAACCAGTCTGATATGGCAAAACTATTTGGCGTAACATAAGCAAAAAATGCTTCGGTTCAGAATGCAGTTAATGGATTTAAAAAACCGGGAATCTGCCCCTATGATCCAAATGTTTTTGGAAAAGAAGATTATGCTCGCTCCTTCAACTATAACCGACCGTCCTCTTTCTGACGCACCGTCTACTAAGACTGAAGGTCCTGTAAATGATGCACCGTCGACAATGACCAAAGATCTTTTTAATGGCACATCGACTATTATGACCTACTGAGCTTTTAATGACTCTCCAGCAATAGCAAAAACGACTGACCCGTTTCTACTTGAAATCGCATCTGTTATCGCAAAGTACGCAGTAGTTGAATCTTCCACATAGTCCGTTATCATTGTAGAAATAGAGACTAAAAGGTCTACTACATCTTTGCCTGATTCCAATATACTGGAAGAAGGATCAGCTCATTCACCAGGAGAAAATCATCCAGCACCTGCAGCGAGCCTTACGCCATTTCAGATTAGATCTATTCCAACTATGGCTGCTCCTAAAACAGGCCGCAAACACCAGAGGCAGGAATCAGAAATGTTGAAGTCTACTTCCGTCAAAGCTGAACAAGCATTAAAGTTTAAGAAGCCAAATATTAAGAAGACTAAGATTTCTGAGTTAGAAGGCTCCAGAAAAACGAAAACTAAAAGATCCTCAGTCTAGCAAAAAAACAAAAACCCGAAACCAGATTTTTACTGTTTAGTGTGCGCTGACAAATACACTGAACCACCAGCGGAAGATTGGATTCAGTGTTATGAGCGCAAAAGTTGGGCACATGAAGATTGTAGTTCTTATGTAGAAATAGGCAGCTACTTCTGTGATGAATGCGAAGACTGATCTGAACTAATTCAAGATATCCTTTTTGCCCTTGGGGCATATCCGTTTTGCCCGACCCCTCCGGGCAAAACGGATAATTTACACTTTTTGTAAAAACTCATAATTATAATAGAAATCGTCAAAGTTTTTTAATTTAAATGATTATTTTCCAAAGATGATTAAACATAGTACAAAATAAAAGTACAAAGAATTCTATCGATTATTAAAATTGTGGATTTATTTACACTATGCCTTAACATATGCGTCTTGCCCGGGCTTCCCCTACATAATAATATTTAGATTACGTTTAGTGTAACATTACTTATCTATTTTTAAATATAATAGCTTAAGCAACAAAATTTTAATGGGTCTATAGAAAACATAGTTATAACAAAACATATTAAAGTAATATACTAGTGATGTTCGATTTTTTCACATTTACGAATGCGAATATCATCTCCGATACTCGGGAATATTAACTTTCAAATAAAACGCGCGCAAAATGTTAAGCGTTTGACATTTCGTGTCGGCCATGTTTAAACCGAACATATCCGATACACGTTGAATGAACGAAGTTTTTTACATAAAGTTCATTCGAAAAGATTTGTTGTGATTTGAGGTTAGTTTAATATTATTGCATTTGTCAAATTTAACTGACACCTATTCAAAAGTGACGAAATAAAAAAAAATATGACCAAAGCAACCGTACTTGTATATTATTCGGTATCCATTAATTCCATATAATTTCCTTTTTGTTTGTCAAATACATTCGCTAAATATTAGCATCGTTTCTTGCGAATATGAATGCTAATGCAAAGAAATATGCGAATATTCGTTGTCTTCGTTATATAATCGCTGTCTGTACAAGAAATATTTTAGAAAAAATATTATTGGGGGTTATATATTTACCATATATATATATATATATATATATATATATATATATATATATATATATATATATATATATTAGGACCCAAAACAATGATTTAAGAATTTTTGTCTGTGCGTTTGTACACCCTATTCTCGGAAACAGCTTAACTGATTTAGCTGCGGTTTTCATAAATGTATTGTGGTAAGCTTCACTTAACATTTAGTACTTGTTTTATTTATGTATATTGTTTCGGACGACCAGAACCAGGGTATGTCTAGTACCCGGAGGTCGACCTGGGACAATCTCCCAGACGTTCTTGGCGTACACGGCAGTATGTCCGTTCGCTGGTAATGTACGCCACCACGCACCCCTGAATGCGTAGCTTGGGTCCCGATCCACTAGGGTTTCTTCGTTGACAGGAGACTATACTTAGAGGCGATGAAATAAAACACAATTTTTCCTTTTTTCTCTCTTGGTTTCGGTTCTTCCTTTTCCTTTTAGTTGTTGCCTCTTCGGTGGCTGTCTTGCGACTGACTCGAATCGAGAAATGGTTCGCCTTTTATTTGGCCCGTTAATACCTTACAGAGAGCCTCGTACTTTGAGCTCATTTTTCGAATAAAATTTCCCTAAACCGAAACCTTGAGAGTCCTTTTATTTTATGTTTTCAGTAAAACACCTTACACATATTTATTTATTTACATGCCTTACATACTATTATACAATATTAAAACATAATATTCAATATATAATAATTAATTAAAAAAGTCTTAAAACAAAAATATCTAAATTTCTAAGTTGCTACATTTTTACTATACATTTTCCCTTATAACTTTTGAACGGATAGTCCTATCGACCTAATTCTTGTTTTATTATAAGTTTTATAATAAAATCTATTATTTAAAACATAAACTATTATGCTATTGCAAGAAACAAAAAATCTCATTTTCAAGTTACGTAATTATATGCTAACATTTTACTTACGTACCTATTCCTTTCAAATTATTGTTAAATAGTCTTATATGATTCAAATAAGCAAAAAATACTCTAAACTAACCTTATTACACTAATTAGAACTTATTTTAACATAATAAATCTAATAAGAATGAGATTTCATATTTACAACAATTATTCATAATACGCTAAAATGACATTGTCCCTATATTAATACACACGTTACTCGAAGATAAGTTTTCCGTCGCCGACATTCTCCCCCTCGTGCTTTGCACCAACTCCTGGACTCGGCGACGCTCCCGGCACCAACAGCACCACTCTCGAACTGGGCCTCCGTAGAACACCTCCTCTGGTCTCGACGTCGACGACTCTGGTCCGCCCGTCTGGTCCAGGATACACATGCAGGATTCTTCCGCGTGGCCAGATGCATCTTGGTAGGCTGTGATCGACGATCAGTACGATGTCTCCGACTTGCAAATCTGTGGCGCTGACTCTTCCTTTGGTCTTCCTTGGTAGTAGAGTGGGCAAATACTCTCTCAGCCAACGTTGCCAGAAGTGATCGGCAAGTCGCTGCGTAGCCTTCCAGGTGTGTCTGCCCACAAGCTCGTTGTCCTCGAAGCTGCCGATTCTTGCTGCGCCACATGATCGCCCGATGAGAAAGTGGTTCGGTGTAAGTGCTTCTTCTTCAGGGTTCTCGGAGAGGTGGGTGAGGGGCCGAGAGTTGACTATGTGCTCGGCCTCTAACAGGAGGGTATGAAGTACCTCCTCTCGTGGTTGCCTTTCGTTGAGCGTGGCGTCCAGTGCGGTTTTAATGGATCGCACCAGACGCTCCCATGCACCTCCCATGTTTGGTGCACCAGGAGGTATGAACTTCCACTGCACACCCATCTTCTCCGCTTCCGAGATAAGGTCTTCTTGCTTCATGGTGTCTAGTGCTTCTTTGAGTTCTTTGTTGGCGCCAACGAAGTTAGTGCCATTGTCGGTGTAGATTATCTTTGGCATTCCCCTTCTCGCGGCGAATCGTCGTAGTGCCATGATCATGCTGTCAGTGGAGAGTGAAGGAGTGAGCTCAATGTGTACAGCTCGTGTTGTTAAGCATGTGAATAGAGCACCCCATCTCTTCTCATGGCGTCTTGCTACGGTGATCGTCATAGGGCCGAAGTAATCTATTCCCGTGCACGTAAATGGAGGGTTTCCGTGCATCAGCCTCTCAGCAGGTAAGTTGCCCACTGGTAGTTCTTGAGGTCTTGCCTTTCTTGTTTTGCACCACTGGCATTGATGTTGAATGGTCTTGATCGCTGACCTCAGTCCTAGCACCCAGAAGCGTTGTCTTACTTCGTTCATTACGGTCGCGTGATTCCCGTGATTGAAGCGGCAGTGAAATTCTTCTATGATGAGAAGTGTTGTCTTGTCCTTGCTGTCGAGTACGATGGGTCGTTTGTAGTCTCTGGTAACCCCTCGTATCGCGTCGATTCTTCCTTTCAGTCGCAGGAGACCTTCTTCTAGCACTACGTCGAGCCTTTTCAACTTGCTGCTGCCCTCTAATTGTTTTCCTTGCTGTAGGCACCTGATGTCCTCTTTGAAGCATTTCTCTTGACTTCTTCTTAACAACAGCGTTTCAGCTTGCTCTAGTAGACTTGTTTCCAATGGTATGTATTTCCTTTCTGACGTTTTTGAAGACAGATGTCGCTTCTCAACAATTTTCTTATTCCTTTTTGTAGTTTTCCAGGTAGGATCTTCTTTGCTGGCGTGGACCTTTTCCTTTCTTCTGCAGAGTTGTATGAACTGCAGTACTCTTGCTGTAGCTCGCCAAAGTCTTTTCCACGACGAGAACTTTTCGGGATCTGGTGATGGATAGGAGCTGCCTGCAGTCGCTACGATGTCCGCTGCCTTTTCTTCGCCAGTGGTTTCTTTCTTGAATGTTCTTGCCGCAGGCCAGTGAACTTCATCTCTTCTTAGAAACCCTGGTCCGGTGTACCATCGGTGTTGGCAGTCGAAGTGTTCTGGTACGTCACGTGTTGCATCATCTGCAGGGTTCTGCGCCGTCGGTACCCATCTCCAGTCCTGTGGTTTTGTGAGATCTTCTATCTCCGCCAAGCGATGAGCCACGAATGTCTTGAAGGTTCTCGGGTCCGTCTTGATCCATGATAGCACGATACTGGAGTCTGTCCAAAACGTCTTCTTTTCTATTTTCAGATCCATTTCTTCCTCGACCGAGTGTGCCAATCTGCTTCCTAGGAGGGCCGCTTGCAGCTCGAGTCTCGGGATTGACACCGGCTTCAACGGAGCGACTCTTACTTTTGCTGCTACTAAGCTGACGTCATAAGTCCCATTTTGATTTTCAGTTCTCCAATATACCGTAGCTGCATACGCCATTTCGCTTGCATCCGTGAACGTGTGCAGCTCCCCCTCGGTGCGACGTGGTGCCAGACATCTCGGGATCTGAAGGTCTTGGAGCAGCTTCATCTTCTCCAGGTAAGTCTTCCATGACTGGTACTCCTTTTCTTCTATCTCTTCATCCCAACCGACGCCACTTCGCCATATGTTCTGGAGCAGCCTTTTGCCTTGGATGAGAATTGGTGATGCTAGCCCTAGTGGATCGAAGGTCGACATCACGGCGCTGGTGACTTCTCTCTTCGTAGGTACCTTGAGTCCTTGTGCCACTTCATCTGGCGTGTTCCGAAGGTTCGCCCTAAAGCCTATGGAGTCCCTTTCTGTAAACCAGCGTAGTCCCAGTGTCTTCTCTTCCTTCTCACCAAGGTCCACCTCTGTCTTCTCAACTGACTCAGTCTTCACGTCTTGCAGCAGGTCGGAGTGGTTTGACGCCCATCCTCGGAGTTCGAAGCCCGCCTTTTTGTGAATGAAGTCCACCTGCGCTGTAATTCTCTTGAAGTCCTCTTCTGAATGGAAGCTGTGCAGGTAGTCATCCATGTAATGGTTCAGCTCGATTGCCTTTGCTGCCTCTGGGTACTGCTTCTTGTAGTCCGCCGCGTTCCGGTTCTTCACGTAGATCGCTGTG